TTAAAACTTTTGAACGAAGATATATCAGCAACCACTTAAGCAAATCCTATGAACTTTCTTTATTTTAATTATACAAACTTGTAAAATTAAAATAAAAAAAGATTCATTGAATTTGCTTAAGTGGTTGCTGAGATATTTCATTCAGAGTTTGATAAAGAATTAAACTGTCTGAGAAATAGAAGCAAAGATAAATGTTTTAAAACTTTTGAATGAAGATATCTCGGCAACCACTTAAGCAAATCCCATGAACTTTTTTTTATTTTAATTCCACAGCCTTGTAGAATTAAAATAAAAAAAGTTTGTCAGATTTGCTTAGACAGCTGCCAAGATCTCTATCCTAAAATTATAAATAATTTAATTTATATTAAATTACAAAATTTAAAATCTTATTGCAAGGAATTTTATTATTTAAATATAATACTCATTAAAAAAAGTATATAATTTTTTAAAAATTAATTATTTTATTAGTTTAAACATAAAATTCAAAAATTTTTTATTTATCTTGCTACTTTAAACTAACATTTAATTATTTTTATTTAATACAGGCTCCAGGTACATACTCAATTCTTGAACAAATGCATCTGTTTGTGCAAAATTACCCCTCTCTTCAACCTGCCAATATACATTACGCATTATTTCAATCAACTCATTTACAACTAAATGACGATTCTCCATGGCTTTCTTGACTTCAGTTCTTTGGGTCTCCTTACTTCAATTAATTCACAACATGTATAGATATCAAACCCGGCCTCTTCAAATATTTGCTGAAATCTCAACCATGCTTCATTTGTTAACAATCTTGTAGAACTATGAATGTGTTCATAAAATACATGTTGACACAGAAGCAAATATCAACAAAAAAAGAGGCAATCACAATGAAGTGATATAAGACCTAATGTTGCTTTTTCTTTTTCTATTTTTCCTTCAATGATGCAAAATTCATTAATTATCAATTGTTGTATAGGGTATAGAAATTTATGAATTTCAAAAAGAATGTCATCATCAATCTCAAATACTGAAATTTTTTTGGTACAGAATTCGAAAGCGACATACTCTGAGTCTATATGTTTCTTTTTGTCAAGTTCCACAACTTTATAGCATGAACCTAAAGAAAAGCAATAAAATAATAAGTCACTAATTATACTAACAATTTAACAACTTTTTATTTAATGTTTAGGCCCGAGTTGTAATTTATATTTATTTGATCATAACCAACTTGAACCCAAACATTCTCTAGTTCAGAATCAATTTTCATTATAAGTCGAAAACCTAAGTATCGATTCTGTTTTTAAAGTTAATTATCTCTTAGAACTATACATTATATAAAAAATACATTTTAACTTTAATTTAATAAATAATACTTTTAATTAGAATTCCTTAAACACTGTGGTAACAATTACAATTATTTGTGCCCTATACAAAGTCTATCTCTGCAGTTTTTTCTTAACTCTGATTCTTTTGTTATAACAAATAACTTATAGAAAATTTGAACTCTATTAAAATAATGCTAAACATAAAAACATAAACCCAGAATGTTTGAATAAAAACTATCAAATTTTTTTGCTATCTAATTGTTACTAAAACAGAGAACTAAAGTTCATAACAATTAAATATTATCTAACCTGTCAGAGAAATTAATTTGATCGCATTATCATAAGATGTGGCTTTAAGTCATGATTCTTTAACACAATTATTAATATTTTTAACTTGCTTATATAATTCAGTTTCTTCTTTTTCCAGGTTACCATAAAGCTGATACAGTGTATCAACCAATTCACTAACAGTTGGTTGATTTTGAGGTTCTACGTCTAAGCATTTATTCATTAGATCCAAAAGTAGTTGAGAAATTTTGCATCTAATTTTAAGTCTGAGACCTTTACAAACCTTGAGTGCAAGGTGATATGGAGGATATCTAGTAAAAACTTCTGACATAATTACTCCGAAAGAATAAATATCTAATTTTTGAGTTATTTCTTTCTATTTAATATAATACTTCTTGAGCAATATAAGGAGACATGCCAAAAAGTTCTTGAGCTGTTTGCAAATTATGCATTTTTTATCTTTTTTTTTGTTACAGCATCTCAAGCTATTCATTATTCTTTAATTACATGAAACATTTACTGTAAATTTATAAAAAATAAGTAGATATTATAACATATTTTAGATAAAATTACATACATTGAATAATAGCTTACTTGCTCTTGAACTTTATAACTAGTAAAACTTCTAATTTCTATTTTATAAAATGATTCTTTGAATTTGCATGTCATCTAACTGAATTGTTAAAATCCAAATCTTCGAATATTAAAAGAATCTACTCTATCATTTTTATAAGTGCCCTAAATAAAAATCTCTTTTACATAGCTTCCTATTATCAATAATATTATTGACAGATATTTTATAATGGGTAAGAGGTAAGCAGTATTGCAAAATAACCTTTAAAGTTATATAGTTACATTCAACCTATTTTATCGACTTATAATTGCTTTCTAATTTCATTTGCATCATCTGAATTCCCATGCTTTTATTCTGTCGATTAGGTTTAATCAAAATTGCCAAAACAGACCAGTTTGTGAATCAGAATCTATACATTGCACAGCTAATTCAATATAACAATTTGAAGCTCTAGGGGCAAATTCAGGCCACAATCTGATTCAAGTCTTTGCTACAAGTCTAGTACCAACTGTCAAAAGTCTTTGTCTGGTTGAAAGCTCTAACATAGTAACTCCAAAATCATATACATCTGCGGCCATTGTAAGCCTTCGACCTTGTAAATTTCTAGAGTGGCATAAGGAATATTTTTATAATAAATACAATCACCTAAATTATTTTTTAAATGATCCTAGATCTAAATTTCTAATGCCTTTGCAAAAATATCACCATTGTGAAAGTCTGCACAAATATATCCCACATCGTGAATTTTTCTTTTAGAAAAGATCTTGAATGTTCTTTTAAAATTATGAAGATTTCCATCATTAGCATATTGAAATGCCATCATTTGTTTTGGTGTTTTGAGTTAATTCATATATTAAGATTACTGTCACGCCATCTACATAATTGTAAACTTAATAAATATATTATTAAATTAGTTCAGAATGCATTTAATAAACTGTACAATTAATCATAATTTAATTTACTTTTTAAAAAGTATAAGGCTTTACTTAGAACCGATTCTTATCTTTCAGCTTCGACTTAAAATTAATTCTAAACCTAGCCATATGAAAAAAAAATTTGTACTGATTAATCTGTGATGTAAAGAGGTGGTGTGTTTTAATTCAGAGTAGTATGACTTCAGAGGATTTGTTGTAGTCACTTGCAGAAGTAAGAGGGAATGTTGCCAAACCCAAAGGGCCTACTGATCTGTATTTTTTAAATAGTTTCATTGGATATATCATTGTACATCTGAAACTAGGCACTCGTTAATTGCTTGTTGAATAAGGCTTTCACAACCAGGTTTAGTCCTCTTGTGCATTGCTTGGTTCATTTTTTGCTGAGTTTTAGGGTCGTAAATCTTTCCCATTCATGTTCTCATGATATGGACTGTACAATAAATGACATTACATTCTTGCTCACCATTTCAAAGACCTAAAAAGGTTTTTTTCACACTTTTTGTTTTTACATGACTATGGTCAGCAAGAAAATACCTAGGCTTCTATTTATTTGCAAACTGTCTAACTATCTTTAAAGCCTCTGCAACAGTGTCACTATCCTTATTATTTACAAAGAAATAAGCCTCTACATCCTAGCATTCATACATGTTACGAACATACAAAGTAAATAGACGATAATCATATTTGTTTGTCTTGTGGGTTGAATCAATTAATGTCAACTATCTATACTGCTCAAGATTATTAATTTGATTGAAGTGCACAAAAACAAGACTCTGAGTAGATTGGCTAGTAATTTTAAAATGCTGGACTTTATATTCTTGCTTTTCAAGAAAAAAGACTATTTTACAAATATCTGGTTCAAGTTTCAAATTGCCAATAAGATGTGTATCGAGAGCATCATGAACTTTGAGCTTTATGTTTGAAACTTCCTTATGTTTTAATTTTTTTACACTTTCTCCTAGATCCAACGTTTCTGTTGCATATTCTTTTACTGTACTTGTTATTTTAGGTGGTCTATAGTTCTTAACAGCTTCTATTTCAACTAAAGTTTGAATGATTTGTAAGTGTTTTAGTTTTTCACTATTATCCAAAGAGTGGATATAGTCAGGTGAATGTTTAAATCATTCTATATGAACTTTTAGTATTGAAGGATATCACGTAATTTTTATTTTAGCAGAGCACAGGCCAGCAGGCTAAATCTTTGTTTTTCTACATTTTTCTTGTAGCACATCCTCTTTTCACAAACTTGATAGTCTATTTTTTGCAAAGTGACATGTAAATATATTCTATGAATCACCATTAACAAGATCTCCATAACTGAACTTAGTCTATATATTTAAGACAAGAGGCCATCAGTCATTATCAAATTCTAGTAAAGAAATTTCTAGTGGTTTGCTCACGTTAAAAAGAAAAAAATGCCTTTGATTTGGCATTAAATTCGTTAAATTTTCAGAGGTAGGTGGATTCATATTTACAGTATATGCTTATAAGTGTTTTTTAAAAAAAAAACTAATTATTTAAAAAAAAAAAAATGAAAAAAAATCATTTTTTTTTAAAAAAATAAAAAAAATTTTTCAAAAGAAAAAAATATCAGTTTTTTTTCAAAAGAAAAAAAATCAGTTTTTTTAAAAAGAAAAAAAATCAAATTTTTCAAAAAAAAAAGTTTACAAAACAATATATAAGCATTTTGATAACAAAGAGCCTTCTAGTATGATTATACAAATAGTTGTTATCTTTTGTAACAAAAAAAAAAGTTTATAAAAAAAGTTTAAATAAGAAGAAAATGCCAATCTTAAATAACCTACATACATGCTTATTCTTTCGTTTAATTTTACGGTTGGCTTTTCAATTAATTTTTGTCGCTATTGTTATCTTGCATACTGGCATATATAAATGTGTTTTATTTATATTTTGCAGTATTGCACAACACATTTCATAGGAACAAAGTAAGTCTAAATTGATAGTCATCTGAAAGTTATGTCAGAGCTCGTTCTGATTATATAGTCATGTGACCAAACTAGGCTTTAGCCATCCCCTAAATTAGGCAATAACATTTGGAGTACATCTATGTAACCCCCATCAAATTTGGATAGATAGACGATCATTTTCTAATTTAACACAGATATTCATGCAACTTACAAGATCAGGTATAACATATTTGTCTATGTAATCACTTTCTGTGCATTAGTAAAAAAAAATCCTTTGCAAATTTTAGTGTAAAGTAAGTCTTATAATCGAAACCTGATCCTAATTTGATGTTTTATGACTTTAAAAAATAGTTGATCAGTGAAAATCTGTCGATGCCACTGGGGTAGTTTGAAAATCTATCGCTTTGATAATTTCACTTGTTTTTTTTAAGATTTCTCCAATTTTTGATAAAACCTTTTAATTAGCAAGACTTTAATTGTTCTTTGACAGGACTTTATTATTTAATTGACAAAGTGTTAGCTGTCTTTTTTTTAACAAAACCAGCTTATTTTTATTAAAATCTTAAACTATTTATCAAAAGATCATTTATTTTAATCAAAACTTTGACTATTCATAATAAAAATTTTAATGTAAATTAATATTTTACCTAAACAATTCTGAAATTGTCATTTAGTAGAATTTCATTAGCAAATTAAATTTCAAAAACAGCATAACATGAAAAAAGTTCAAGAAACTAAATCAATCCAAAATCATCTGTAACTTAAAATTTGATCTATGAAACTGCCTACTGCATATTAACAAAAAGTTTTTCTTGAAAATTTTAATATAATTATAATTCTTTAAACCTAATCTATTTGCAATACCCTAACCTAGTAATAAAATGTCTTTTTTTTTAGTGAAAATTTTTTTTCTTGGTTTTGCAATAAGATCATATGATGTGCAAAATTTTTAGACTAGTGATCCTAGACTTATATATTTTACCTGTTAGAGATTTTTTCTTTTATAATTAGTGAATTTTATTATAACTTAAAAAAAATATTTCACTAATGATACAGATTTAAAAACTTTAACAAAAAAAATCACCAATCTCTCTCTCCTAACCACTTGCATTTAGGGTTAAGAATAATTTAGAAGAGACAAAATTAATCTATCTAAGAGTTCTTTCCTTTTTAAAAACAGTATCAAAACAGGAGTATCTTTCTTTGTTTCTAAGAAATGTAATACCTCGATTATTGAAGCTCACAAATTCAAAAGAACAAAATTTAATTATTATGTCAATATGGAAAAACTTATTATATATAACAAAAAGGGTTCTTACTCTAAAGAGAATACTACAACAGCAAGCAATTTTCTAACAGCTCTAGTAACTTCTGTATAACCAAACATTAATGACAACAGTACACTTAGTTGGGATGAACAAGTCTTGCTAAAAAACACAGAAGGTTGCTCTGAAAATAGAGAGGATCAAAACAATAAACTAGACATGTTTGATTCTGAAACACATACTGAAGAATCTAACAATAATAAAAATTCAGCAACAATAATGGTAACACATGTAAATCCATACATGATATCATCAACTGACTTGAGTTTAACTAAAGTAAACAATAATAAAGAAATCTCAAACAGATCCTGAACAAGTTTCTTTGTGAAAGTCAAAAGAGGACAGTCAACTTTTTCTTCGTTTTTATCAAGAAATAATATAAAATTAAGAAATGATAATACTCTTATTCTAGATATTCAATATCTAACTGGCTCACTAAATAAAATTATGATTTCACTTTATAAAACTGCAGGATGTGATATTATAGCAGCTAAATTACATATTAATAAGAATATATATACTTACTTGGAATTAGTTTTTTCAAATAAGGAAAAACTAAAATATTATATTTCTAAAGGAATACAAATTTTTAACAGAACATATTATAGCTACATTCTTTCTGATACAAGAAGATCTTTTCTTCTAATCAAACTTAGAAATGTTCCATTAGGTGACAAAAAGCTCATTTTAGAAGAAATTAGAGAAACCTTTGATAACATAGGCAAAATTGCCTCAATTAAACTACTTTTAATTGAGGGCACACTATATTTAATAGATCAATAGATTATTATGTTTGAAACTACTGATAATCTAAGACTAGAAGAAAGAATTCTACAATTTATATTTTCATGAATAACAAAATTACTACAAAATAGTATTCAGTCTTAAAACTCTGCTTCTTCTGTAATGAAAAAGGACATATTAAAAAGAAATGTTCTTAATACCTACAAGCAGTCAAACTCTGATTATAATATAAAGAATATAATACAAATAAGAAAAAAAGCAGAAATATTTCTCATAAAAGAGAAGAAGAAAGTTCCAAAATACAAAAACAAAAAATTCTTACAGAAGATCTAAATATGGATATAAATCAAATTAAAGAAACTTTTTTAGCTATTTCAGAAGAAACAACTAATTCTGAAGAAATCAAAAAAGAAAATATAAAAAACTCAGCAACAATAGAAGAAGATCTGGAAGTTTCTTATAATGAAACTCTAAGTAATATTGATAAAAAAAACATTCCTATTAACAATAGTTCTAGTATTATTATTACAGAATTAGAAAAACTACAAGCTTTGAGTTCTCTCCTAGTATTAATTGCAAATAATATCAATTTGCAATTTCATTTCGACAATGCTGAAGAGGAATTCATAGTTGTTTCATACAAAAGAAAAAAAAATAAGAAAGCTTTCACAAAACAAAAGGCTGAGCCAATCAGAAAGGCTCTATACAAAAATTCTTGTACTGGAGTACAAAACTTTCAGATCTAAATTTGTATTACTATACAATCTTTTTATGACTAATTATATTAAATTCAAAATGACAACTCTTAATGTAAAAAGGTTAAACAATCAATAAAAACAACAGAATACTTTAACTTTTTTAAAATCATATAAATTAGATCTTATCATGCTAAAAGAAACAAATCTAAATGATGAAAGCACATGAAACTTTTTTAAAAACCAATAGATGTTTGACTCTATTTGGACAAACAAAACAGCTATACTTGCAGACAACAAAAATATAATCTTTAAAAACATTGAAATGGATCTAAATAATAGAATAATTACTATCAACTTTAAGTACAAAGAACTTACATTTCAAGTTTTCAACATATACACTCCATCTAGCCCAGAAGACAGTAAACTTTTTTTTAAAAATAGTCTCCTTATATTAAAAAAAATGCTATTAATATTATCAGAGATAATTTTTTTTTTTTTTTTAAATATTAGCAGTGAGGGCATGTCTTTAATTTTATTAAAATTCAATTGAAGTTTTTATAAAGAAAAGCTTGCTTTTAAATTATATATGAAGAATAAAGACTCAGACATATAATC